GGGGATGGAATGGAGGAATCCCAGATCATCTGCGAATCCAGCTAGATGGCTGATGAAGAGCTCCAGCCCCTGGACTCGAATCCCAGTGCTGTCACTTATCAACAGAGTAACCCTCGGTTTCCTCTCCTGAGTCGCATGGGGCTAAAAAATGATGAAAACCAAACAAATTTGAAAAAAAACCAAAACACCTGCCATTGAGTCCACTCCAATTCATGCTGACCCGGCTCAAGGGTTCCACTCCTTTGGAGTGGCTGGTGGGTTTGAACCACCAACCTAGTGGTTAACAGCCCCACCCTTACTCAACAGCACCCCCAGGGTTGGGCTAAATAAAAAAAACTGAGCCCAAACCCAACCCGCTGCAGCTGAGTTTTCATTTACACCATCTTTCTTAACCGAGTGAGTCGTTAAGTGGGCAAAAACACTAAAGGCCAGACTCAGGGCATCAAGTGGATTCGGACTCACAGCGACCCTACAGAACACACAAGAACTGAACTGGTGGGGGGTTTCTGCGGCTGTCGTTCTGGACAGGGGTAGAAAGCCTCCTCGTTTCACACAGGGCAGCCGGTGGTTTCGAACTGATGACTCTGCAGTTGGCAGCTCAACGCTTTCCTACTACACCCCAGAGCTCTTCTCGGGTGAAAGAAGAAGGTGTCAACAAAGGCCTGAGTGTAGATCCGGAAGGAGATGGAAGAGGAGAACAGGCTGTCCAGGTGACAGCAGCAGCCGATGAGCAGGTGTCAGGACGCAATTTGAGCAGGTGTCAGGACGCAAACCAGAAATGCCACTTGGCCTGGGGAGCCCGTGGAAGTAGCATCCTCAGGGAGGCAGTGCCAGGTAAGACAAGCCCAGTGTAAAATGGACTGGAAGCCTGTCTCCGTCTCTCCTTCTTCCTCCTCACCCTGCTGTGGGGAGCTGAGGCATTCCAGGAGACTCAGTCCCTCTGCTTCCTTGGTGTGGCTCTCACATACCCCACCCCCACCCCCCACTTCCCTTTGCTCTGACCTCCGCCTGCTTCCCAGGAGGTCCGGCCCACACATCTCTGCCAAGGATAAGTCACCCCTAAGGCAACTTTCCTTTTTCCGCTGAAATCAGAGTTTCACGAAGCAAACTCCCTCAGGGTGACTGGGTGGTGGGAGGTGGGGTTGGGGTGAAGGGGAGGGGGAGTCAAATGCATCACTCCCAAAGCCTTCAGGAAATGTCTTCCCATTTCAGGGCTCCCTGCAATCTTCACACTGGCGTCTGTCTTTAAAAGTCGAAGTCAACTGAAGGGTGCTCCTCCACAAAGACCCATCTCCAAGCCGACACCCACCCCTCCATGCCCGGCTGAGCTGTGTGAGCCAGAGAAAGTCCTCTGAGCTGCACAAGCAGAAGCCCCAAGAGCTCAGGAGGACTGCGGGGGTCCAGCTCCTAGCAGCCGCTCCCCACCCCCTTCCCCCACGTCTCCCTCAACTCCAGAAGGCAAAAAGACCCAGCCTGCCTTTCCACTGTCCCCGGAGCCTAGGAGGGCCACATGTCCTAACCAGACGGACAGGATACTGGTGGAATTCTGCTGGGGGCATTCTAGGAGAGCTCTTGTTTTCCAGATGAACGGGACAGTGAGAGGGTGCTACCCTCCGGCCTCCTTCTGTCTGGGATGGAGGTGTGCTGTTTGGAGCAGCGCAGTCACCTTACAACCACAAACAAAGGTCAAGAGAATCACTGGATGCCACCCCAGGCCCTAGCACCATTCAGTTCTGGCCCAGTGGGACGTTAGACAGAAAAGCTCACTGTCCATTGGTTTCAGCCACCAAAAACTCACATTTCCAGTTACTGCTTGCTGTGGAAAGCACCGTTACCGGCTCAATGGCTGACCGGTAGCTATCCACCAGGATCTTCACCATGGGAAGGACAGTTCTACCAAACCAGGCTTGTAAGCAGATGTCCTGTCTCATCTCTGATGTGTGGGACACTTTTATCCCAGGCCCGTTAGGTGCGCACCACTGTTCAAATACCTCGTGGTCACCTCAAAAGGGCTATGGCGATGTCCTTCCAGTCTCCCTGGAAAGTAAGATCATGGCTGAACTATCTACACAGTGTGCCAGCCACAGCAGGCCTCGATGTCACCAAGCTCTGTCAAATCGACCACTCTCTCTGCCCCTTCCACTGACATCTGAGTTATGTCCTTAGGCCCAAGTTACTGCGATCGCCCCTTAATTCGTCTCTGCATCGTCCTTGCCCTCTCAGTGGTGATTTTGGGAGAGCAGAGCTTACCGTGCCCTTCCCTTTTATAGAACCCCATGGTTTCCCATGATGCCCATGAGAGTCCAAATGCCCAGAGGCCTACATGGTCTGGACTGACCCGGCACCTCGTCACCTCCCCACTCCCATGCAGAGTGCCTCTGAGAGGCGGCCTTTCCGATCCCCACACACACTGCTCTTCCAGGGCCCCTCCCATGCGGCTGTCCATCAAAGAGCTGCCCCTCCAGCTTGATGGCCTAGTTAGCCCTCCCTCATCCCCGGCTGCAGCCGAGCAGTCTAATTTTCATCGCAGATACTGTATTTTTCTGTTTTAGATTTCCATTAAAAAAAAAAGTTTCCACTTCTCTCCTGAGGTTCCCCATCTGTTCACTCATCGTGACCATCTCTTTAAGTCTTAAATATTTACCTAACAGATACCTTAAAGGCCTCATCTGCGGATCCCAACATTTGGGTCATATCAGGGTTTAATTCTATTGGGCTGCCTGTCTCCCCACTACCACCCCACCCCACCCCCACTGCAACCTCTGAATAGGGGCTCCCTTTTTCTGCTTCTTGGCAAATGAAGTACTATTTTTATTATACGCTGCACATTGCAGATGAGAGTCTGGATTATTTAGTCTCTCTTTAAAGGTCGTGGGCTCAATCTTGGCAGGTCCTTTGGAACCTGTAACACTTGGCTTGCTTCCTTTTGGTGCCATTTAATTAGGAGCTAATCTAGACATCACACCAAGCCATAGTTCAATCATCTCCAGCGTGTTGTACAATTGCTACCACATTTACTTCTTATTAGGGTGTGCTGGGGCCTCACCTTCCCGCCCATGAACGGCCCTGTAGCGTCTCAACAGAATCCCCTGGGCTGGCCCTAGATTCCACAGTCTCCGTGCCCTGCACATCCTCCCCCTCAACACGCCCGCCCCGCCACCCCTGCCTGGCTCTCAGCCCTGTAGTAATAATTCTCTATCAGGACTCCTGGGTTCTTGCTCTGTGCGTAAACAGCCAAGCCTGCACCAGAGTTCCTGCAGCGAACAGAGACTGCTGTCCACCCGCCACAACCACGCCACTGCCCTGCTGCCTGATTTTCAGGGCAAGCCAAGTGCTGCCCTCCAAAGACAACTTTCTAAATAAGTCTGCCCAGGAGTGCGGCGGGAAGCAGGCGAGTCGCCATGGTAACAACAGCTGCTGAACAGTTGAAGACGCACAGCTGAAGACGGCAAGAACCAGGCCCCCTCAGTTAGGGGATGACACTTCCTCCCAGGGGCGGAGGTCAAATCCAAAGAGCTAATTAGGGGGCCTTTCCAACAATGGCTATTAGAGCGTCACCGGACAGGTGCTTGAGGTGACCCGACGGCCCTCCTGGGACCGCAGGGGCCACAGCTTCAGCAAACACAGGCTCCCTCTGCCTGGGATGGCAAGGGAGGCACAGGCTCTGTTCCTCATCTAGCCTCCCAGAACTGCTGCGGGCCTGAAAGAGGACCGGCCTCCTGACAGCAAGCGGTAATGAGTACGCTTTTCCGACCCGGTGTGGTTTTCTGCTGTGCCGTGAATACATTATAAAGGGGACACAGCCCCGTTGAAGCAGCGTCTTTTGAGTGAGAAGAACCAGTGGTCATAATTCCATATGGCGTTTGCAGTCTAAGTTGGGATGTTGTTCTGACAACAGCATTGTAATCCAGCAAAAGTTTGTTTGTGATCAGAGGTTATTTATAACTTTGGGCTTTCACTGCACATGACGATTGTGATATAAGATCCGACCCAAAGTCCGTTTCAATATAATATTCCATCTCTGACAAAGCTACCCATGGCTGCTAGGAAAGGGCACCCCTATCTTTTACATGGTGTCCACCGCAGGGGCAGAACTACCAAGACACACACGAGTATGCACCCCACCATGCCCCTTCCCCTTTCAGACCCTGTTTCTGTCTGGTCTCATGCTAATGAGAGCAAGAGAGAGCACGGAGAGCGAGAGTGAGAGATCATCAAATTACCACGGGGAGTGCTGCTAATTTTCTCTAATCCTCTCTGGACATTCAAGGGGTGGCCCCTCCATTTCAGAATGCTGACACTTGGTAAGCTCAAAGGAGAGTGGGCACAGTGGTTCCAGCAGGGAGAATTGGTGGTTTTGCCCCGGACATTGGGGACTGAATAAGCAAGTCCCCTCCTGCAACTTGTTGGCTTTGGCCTGATTCCCTGAACACATGAACAAACCAAGAAGGGGCCGTAAAGATCACCTGGTCCTTCCTCATTTTATGGACAAGGAAACCGAGGCCCAGAAATGAGTGACTCTTTACCCGACGAGCGTAAACCCAGAGCTTCCGGTTTTGATTTGGGGTCTTTTGCATGGCCTTCCCTCCCGGGGACTGGCCATCTCCTGACTCTTGCTCGAGTCTCCTCTAAACATTCTGGAATTTCATCCCCTCTTTCTCAAGGTCTCACGGGAGCAAGGCAGCTAATAAAGAGATTCTTTTCTTTTGCTGGTGCAATTATGGATAAAGTGGGATGTTTCTTGGCCTCTGTGGAAGCACAATGATTCAGTGAGCTTTAAGGTTAGCAAGCAGCAGCCTACCGTAATCTCCAGGTGCCAATTCTGACTTACAATCCAGAGAATTAGAACTCGCCCACTTCCTGCCTGCACACCCATGGATCTGAGACCCTGCCTGGAGGTTCCTAACCAGACCGACAGGGAGGCTCTCCAATACCAGAGAGTCTTAGCGTTGCGTCCAATGTACAAGGTGTTCCTGGAGCTCCTTCCGGAGAATACTCACCTTCGCATAAGCCGTCGTCTTAATAAACCACTGTTTGAGGTACTTCTGCTCCACCTTTGCTCCGGAACGCCACGAACAGCCATGTTCATCCACCTGCTCGTTGGCAAGTACTGTTTGATCCACCGGGTCCCAGTTCACTAATGCCTGTGTCATGCATGAAACACAAGGGTGAAATCTGGTGAGTATCCTGAACAAGACCACCTCGTCTTCAAAGGCAAGGAGCCCCGACGGTGTGGTGAGTTAGGTACTGGGCCCCCAGGTCACTGGCTCAATCCCACCACCCATTCCAAAGGAGAGAAGCGAGGCTTCCTGTTCCCTGCCAGATGTATAGTCTCAGAAACCAAAAGGGACAGTTTCCCTCTGTTCTCTAGGGTCACCGCAAGTGGGAAGTACAGTAACTTAGACCAGAAACCTTTATTAAGCCAAAAGCCATCTACTTGTATATCATCACTGCCTGTGCGCGTTTACGGGGTGAAGGGGGGCCGCACCCAGATGAGAAACAAAACGGCTAAACATTGTTTAGGGACTGAAGTAGCCCGTCCATTCAAGAAGCATGCCCCCTTCAAAAGAAGCAGCAGCATACTCTAACCTGTGTGAAATAGAAGAGAGGAGAGAGATGGGGGGCGGGGGGGAATGTGTACTTCCACCTCCAACTCCAGGCCCTGCCAATCTCAGGGCGGTGAGGGAAGAAACAGTTGATGTTGGAGACTGCGAGAACAAAGAGGTCTTTATTTTCTTCTCAACAGTCCCCACACAGCATGGTAGCTCTCAGGCTCTAGGTTACAGACGCCAGGAGGATGCTCTGCTTCTAAGAGCTCTGCACATTTTCATAAAACCCAGGCGTCAAATGAAAGGCAAATAAAAGGAAAATACAACAGCTCATCTCCCCACCTCCACCCCAATGAAAGACTTGGGTGGGGAGGAAACAGACAAAAGGAAATAGCAACTAAAATCAAAGGCACATCAGGTTTTCTTCTCGGTCGCAAAGTCCCCTTGGCCACAGGGCCCGGGCTCACACTGCCCACAGGTGGATAAACCAGGTTTGGTCAAAACCCAGGCCCTCCGCTGGGCCACTTGGAGCACACAGCTGCTCATGCCCAGCTTCTGCAGGCCCCGGACAAAACTTCTCTCACTGTTTCTAACTCAGTTTCCCTAAAGCCGGGCCTACATTTCTAGGTACTCTCTGAAGTGTCCTCAGGAGAGCCTCGCGTGAGCGATGTTGACGCTCGTATATTTACATGCTACGTCCATTCACGCACAGGAAACAATAAACGGTAACTCGGCAATGCCACGCCAAACAATCTGCTTGCCTCTTCCAAGAATGGCTTACGCTTTTCTTTTGAACTTTTTATTGTGAATGGGTGGGTGTGTACAGAAGACACCAGCTTTCTTTTCTTTAATGGAAAAATAACGAAAATTGTCTTATTAGTATAGTAGGATAAGGGTGATCTTTTAATAATTCTTTAAAAAACAATTTTATTGGAACATAATCCACAAATACCATTCAATAGTTCAATCATATTAAAAGGAGTCGTACAGCCATGATCACAATCACTTTTAGAACATTTTTGTCTTTCTTGTACTCATTGTTAATAGCTTGCTGTTCCCCTCAACCTCTTCCACCACACCCCCAAGAACCCCTTAATCTACAGATCCACCCATCCTGGATTTCAGATACCAAAAAATACACAAAAGCAAAAAACAAACAAACCTACAAAAAAGCTAACAACAATAACAAAGCAGAGGAAAAATCTCAGTAGAAAGCAGTAAATGTTAAAAAAACGAGAACTTTAAAGTGGGTCAAAGGGGTCAAATGGGAAGGTGTGAGGTTGTACACTAACTATATCAGCGGTCAGCGGCTTTGCAGTACACGCTGCACGGCAGCCGGGCTGTTCGCTTCCCGGCCCACGTCAGAGGGCATCCACCGGAGGCTTAATCCACGTGGACTTCCCCTTCAATTTTTTTAAAAACGGAGATCAGTTTTCTATGTAGCAGTTCACACACATTTTACATTTTGTTTCATGTCAGAGACTGCAATTTCTACAACATAACGTCACTTACCCCGCTCCTTGTGTTCCTGGTTTCCTTCCGCTTTCTTCCGTACAAGGGGGCATTCAAAAGCGTTCAAAGAAAAATTCCCTATCTTTCACTCAATGTTGCCATCAAACTTGCAAAGCCCTCTGTACTCCTTGTTGCCTCCTGGACTTTGTCCTCAGGCAACGGCTGTCCTTTTGATCCCAAATCCTTGATTATCCTAAGGAACGTGTACCTCACTGGTGAACTGTGGACTCTTCCCTGTGGTGCCAGGTGTACCTGCGGAAGGCCCTCGGCTTTGCTGTGAGTTTTCCATGTCTTGTCGTTTTGACTTGTGTTTATGGTTCAAGGCTATTATCGGATAGCTTATTACAACATCCTCCCTCATCGCTGACGCCACTCTGGGAAACCCCCATAGGACATAATTACTGTCCACCAAGAGCAAGAAAGGATTTCCGTGGCTGATTTTTAGAAGTAGGCCACCAAGCCTTTCTTCCTGGTCTGCCGTTGTTTCAATTAACAGTACTAGGAAACTAAGACATGCCCAAAACAACCTCCACCCTTCCCCCCACCAGGCCCCAGCCCACTGCCATTTGGTGTATTCGAACTCCTGGTGACCCGTGGGCTACAAAGGGGGCCAGTTCCAGAGTGTGTTCGTTCTCAGCGCTAGCCTGGCACAGGCAGGCTGCCAAGCCTATGTTCCTTGGTGCCCCTGGATGGGCTTGAACTGCCAACCTTTGTGTTAGTAGTTGAGTGGGACCTTTGAAACGAAGACATCCTCCAGGGAAAGAAAGTCACCAGAGCAGCAGCGCGATACACAGTTACTTTCTAGCTCTGCTGTGATCCATTCCACAAACTTGAAAGCCTTCCTCTTCACAGTGCCTGTGCAAGCAGGGTTTGTTTCTTCTGAACAAAGTGGGTTTTCTGAAGGGTTGAGAAGGTTAAGGGACTTTAACAAGTGCAGCTCATTTTAACTCACCTCCTTCTGATAGGCCAGTCCAGCTTCATAGAGTTTAATAAACAGGTACTGAGTCCACTTGTAGTAATCCGGCAAGCATGTCGTTATTTCCTGCCAAAAAGAGGAAGGGGGAAAGGCATGTAAGCACCTCCCCCAGTGTAAGCAGCAGCCCTGCAACTCAATTTTGAAAACCAGTCAAAGTGTGGACATATTTGCCAACCTTTAATCATTCCAACAGTTCATAAAGTGAGAGACGTGATTTCTTCTGGCAAAGGGGGTGTGATTGAAACGGCCCCATCTTGCCCAGGGCACGTCCAATGGTCAGACTCTCATAAGCATGCTACTTATCCCTCTTCTTCCTCCAACCCGGAGGTATGAGCCGGAGTAAGAAACCAGGGTGGCCCTATTCCCGGCATATTTGGGGGCCCATGAAGCTAACTAATGATTGTAGCTCATTTAAAACAATTTAGTAAAAAATTGCTGTTGAGAATATACACAGCGGAACTGACGCCATGTCAACAGTGTCTGTGAGTCTGGTTCAGCAACACTCATCACATGCTTTTGCTTCCGCTCTTTCCGCAGTTATCGTTCCCCTTGTCAACAATAACTCACTGCCACGCAGGCAGATTGATCCCACGGAGGTATTTCTTAAAACGAACATGATGCTCAGGGTGGATAAATCATTGTTTATCTCAAATACCGGCAGGGTCACCCAACGTGAAGAGGTTTCAGCACGGCTTCATGAAGAAGGAATAGGCCGTCGGCTTTAGAGGCGTTGGGCACTGAGAACCTCAGGGGTGGCATCAAGACTGTCAGACACAGTGTCAGAACAGGTACAGGAACGGGATAGTGCAAAGGGTGAGCTCCTCGGGTTGGAAGGCACTCAAAATATGACGGACGGAAGAAGGGTCGCCTTCTCAAAGGAGTGTTGATCATCATGACGTGGATCAAGGGAAGCCTATGGGAGTCAAGCCTCCAGGCTCATCATTCGCTGAGAGGGCAAATGAAAACGAGAAGAAAAAAGCAGCAAACACCAATCAATACTCAGAACGTGGGATGTATGAAGTATGAATCTAGAACATCTGAGAGCTGTGAAAAATGAGATGGAATGCAGAAAGATATTCCAGGTATTAGTGAGTTAAAAACAAAACAAAACTGGTTTTGGCCAGTTTGAATCGGAAAATACTACAGTTTCCCATGCTGGGAATGATACAATCAAGAGAACTGGCATTGCAGTCATTGTCAAAAAGGACATTTTAAGATCTACCTTGAAATACAACGCTATCAATGACAGGATAATTATCTATCCACACATGAGGAAATCCAATCAATACATTATTCAAATTTATGCACCAGCCACAAAAGCTGGTGTTCCAGAAATTGAAAATTCTACCCAGGTCTTCAGTTTCAAAGTGATCACACATGCAATCGAGATGCATTGATAATTATGGGCAATTGGAATGCCAAAGTTGGAAACAAAGAGGAAGGAACAGTAGTTGGAAAACATGGTCTTGGTGACAAAAATGAAGCCAGAGATCTCATGACAGAATTTTGCAAGACCAACGACTTCTTCAGTGAAATACCTTTTTTCTAGCAGATGGACATTGGGCCTCCACTCAAGTACACCCTCAATGTAAGAACACTCTGCTCTATTGAACTGGCATTCCATGACGCACAC